AATGTGTTCAGGAGTGAGATCTTCAATTCTTTATATAATGGATTTGAATGGGCTCAGATACGATAAACGTTTGTTCTCGTTGATAACCGGTGCCCTGGCGGGTATTTCTCAGTTCATGAGTGAAAATTACGTCGAACTGATTCATTCATTCGTGCTCGTCAATGCACCATCGTTCATCACAGCAATTTGGTGCGTTTCACTTTATCCGACAAGAATTCCCAATAATTTGTGTATTGAATCGAGGTGAAAAAGGGACTTACTTCATATATGAATGCAGTCAAGTGATCAGTTGATTCGTTCACATTCAGTGGAATCTTTCATTCCGTTTGCAATTTCATTCGAGGCTTTTTCTCGATCAATCCAAGACTTTCCTTATTGGTAGGCATCTAGCAGCGAATAAACAAAATATATGAACACTGAAATCAACTCGTCAGCAACTAACCGTGCATGTCTAATTATACATCGTTTTACGTCCATTTTCGCCAGCGAAATGTCATTTTTTGCATCCACAATGGAGCGTTTTCTCTTCATTAGGAGAATTTTTTGAGCAGATGAAAATTTGCCGTCAACACGAAAATATTTCGAACGGTAGGATTGAGAGGAAGAGTGTGTGCTCAGTTCAATTACAACTCTCATGAGCATTCAGTTCCGCACTTTAATTAAACATTCGCATGTTATAATTGTTTATTTCGGTTGTCTTTTGATGAATATCGTGCCGAATTCCGAAATGAATTCATTTGCATCCGCCTCGTTGGAAAGCAGAATTGCTAACTGAGAACGGTATCCTTGGTGATGTTTACACTGATTGCACAGTTTATATGAGATTTCAGTGATACCGTAACCTCACAATTGGTACTGAATGTTCAATTCAAATCCGAAGAAAAGCTAATGCAAATCAGATCAAGTCGTCAAATTTCGTTCACTTGTTTGCCTAAAAAATTCAATGTTTTGTAAGGGTAATTAAATTGTTAGCGGATAACGTTCACAAGAACTTTCCAGGTCGGTCGCAAAACCTTTATTGCCCGAACGAACGCGTAATAAGGTGCAAATTTTCGGAGCCGGTTGGCGAAACGAAATCCTCAATTTAGCCGTTCCAGACGTGCTGCCAGCCTTCTGGAATAACGACGAAATTGATGTGCGTCGAAAGTTCATTCGTTTTCTCGTTAACGATTAGAGCAAATTTCCTAAAAAAAATCCGCTACATCTCGACTCTGTTCACAGATATGATATTAATTCGGAGGATTTTTCTTGACGTCTCTTGTTCAATTGATAACTTATTTGCTGTTCATAGCAGATGTGAATCATTAGCGTGTAATTCCTAGCGCATTAACTGCATAATTTGTATCGGTATGGAAGTTGCCTTTTCAGGTCTTCAAAGCGGACATTGAGCGTTCGGCGGCACTCGACCCAGTGAATTACTTCAAGACTGATTCCTTTAAACATTCTGATATGATCACTATTGCGGCTGGCCAATCTGATTGCATTGATATCAGCGCACAAAAGGTTTGTTGTTTGCAGAGGAACACTTTTGAAAATAATAATTCCTTGTTGAATGTGTTGAAGTG